GCCGCCCGTCCCCCGGTGCCCGCGGCGACCTGGCTGCTGCTTCCCGGGAGCTGCCCCAGGTCAGCGCCACCCAGCCCCAGCCCCCGCACCTTCTCCCCTTGCGCCAGCCCTCAGGTGTGAAAGCGGGCGGGGGGCTGGCCAGGGGCAATGGGGCATGCATGGCATGATCAGATGCACACTGGTCCGCCTGGCCCTTCCTGTCGGGGGCGGGCGCATGCTGTGCCACACAACTCCCCTGCCCAACACCCCCTGGACCCACTATGCCCAATGCCCCCCCCCAAATCCACAGTGCCCTGCACACCACCACTGCTGCCCAGTGCCCCCCCCCGCCCACAGCCCCACCATAACTGCTCAGCCCCCCCCCACAGAACCCCCCACTCCCTAGTGCCCCAACACACACATCTCCCCCCAATATCTTTCCCCACAGCCCTACCACAACTACACAGCTCCCCACACAGACCCCTACTGCCCAGTGCCCTGACAAACACAGATCTCCCGCACTGCCTAGCACCCCACCACAGACCTCCCAGACACTCACTCCCCACGCCCTGCCCCTGGCCACACTCACAGGCCCTGCTGTGAGGTGATGGGACTGTCAGCTGGGCTAAGCCAGCAGCGCGGCGGGGGCTGGAACTGGGATCATGCGCCCCTGCCCCGCGGTTTTTGCAGGGGGGTGGAGCTGGGGCCATGAGCCCCTCGCAGCTTCCTGGGGCTGTGCGTCGCCCGACCCCAATGGCTCCGGTCGGGGATGTGCGCTTGTGGCTGCCCCGCCCCCGGCCTTATGTGTCCTCCCCGCCTCCCGATATTTTCCTCTCGCGATCTGCTCACCCTACCTAGCCCGGAACTGTGCGGCGGCGGCGGGAGGCGGGTCCCGCTAAGGGCGGAGCTCGGCGGCAGCGCTCTGCCTGGGGCAATGTGGGGCTGCGGCGGGCTGAGCAGAGCAGCCCGGGCTCTAGTCGCCCCGCGGGGCCGGAGCAGCGGGGCGGACCCGCGGGGGAGGAGGCTGGGGACAGCAGCCGGTGAGTATCTCCTGGGCCCGGCCAGAGCCAAGCGGGGCTGGGGCAGGCAGCCCGGGGCGGCGGCACCGCTGGCTCTGGGTGTTTCCTGCGGGGCCTGCCTGCGGCCCGCGGCGGCCGGGCTACGTGTCCCCCAGCGCTGAACGCGCCTCCACCGCCGCCAGCCCCTGTGGCTGTGCAGGGGCCGGTAGCGCTCTCCGGCGCTTGGCGCGGGCTCCGGAACCGCCGCGGTCGGCTTGCGACAGCGGCGTGATTGACAGCGGGCGGGCGCTTACCCGGGGCACAGTGCAAACGCGCCGCGGCCCTACGGCGGGACCCAGCAGCCCTGCCGCGGTCCAGAGCTGCAGCGTGTGGCAAGGACAACAGGCTGAAACCCCGCACGGCAAGTGCTAGCCGACTGTCAGGGCTACTTCTAGCTCCCCGAAAACAGTAGCGTGGCCTCTTACGCCCCTGGTAACCCGTGTTTGCTAGCATTTAGTCAGTGCCTGGAAGCTGGGCTTTCT